TCCACCCCTGCTGGCAGATTCATGTTTTGCTTTAAACAGTCTGCCTGGCATCGCCCCTCACACACCAGCCTGTGCAGGAGTGAGACCTTGCAGGCGAGACTCCACGTGGGCCCATCACCGAGGTGGTTTGGGCCCTTCACCTCCCTGGCATCCGGGACGTGGACTGGGTCAAACATCTGGACTGCCATTGTTGCCGCTACCGGCCTGCGCACATGCGAGGGCCCCACAGCGGGCTGCTGCTGACCCTGCGGACAGTCTTTCCTCTGGAATTCAGCATGGCCACCGCAAACGTCTGCTGTAAACTTCTTTCTCCAATGTAGTTTAGAGGGCTGGAGCTGGGCGGCAGACCAGCAGAGCCTTCCTTCTCAATGCAGCTGTCTGCGGCGTGTGGGGGTCCTTGTCACCCCCCCATTGGCCCCTCTACAGGGAATAAGCCCCTCGCTATGTCATCCGGGGTCCCCTGAACGCCCTTCCACGTCTGTGGTACCTGATCCTGGCCACGCATCCGTAAGCCTTAGTGTCTCCAGGGTCAGGATGGCCCAAGCCGGCTGGCAGCCACACTGGGTGTCCTTAGTGGTTGTTGATCCACCCGATTTCAGTCTACTGGTTGCTGACTAAGTAGAAAAGTGCTCAAGTACTTCTCTCTATCTTCCTTCAACCTACCAACTGGTTGTTGCTTGCGAGACTTCGGAGGGCAAAGTATTGGCTCTGCTGCCCTCTGGTGGCTGAATCACAGAGCCGCCCTCTCCAGGGAACTTGCCAGCCCGCTGGAGGGGGGCACATTCCCTTTTCGCAAGGCCCAGGCCAATGTGCAGGTCTGCTCCCCACTGCTTCAGCTTGTTTGGGGTTGCCCAGGTTGAATTTTCAAGTCTCCAGTTACAGTCAACATTTTGCCTTGTCTCCCTCAGAGAACTCTACGTGGCCGAACAGTTTCAAATCAGAAATGTGTTCAGGCCAGGCAGGTAGTACACACCTGTACTGTAATCGCAGCACTCTGGGAAACTGAGGCAGGAGGATCTCAAGCTCAAGTTCAGCCTGGGCAACTCCAAGACTTAATGAGACCCTGTTTCCAAAATAAAAATGAGCTGGGGATATAGCTCAGTGAAGGCCCCAGAAACGAACAGGAAAAAGAAACATGTACAAAGCTACAATTAGTACCTTGGATCTATCTGGACAATGGATTACTGGATGGCAAAAGAATCCTATTTGCCATACTTTTGTACTCCATGTTGCCAAAGATGAAAGATGTTGAGGTACAGGCACCACACCTGCAGACATCGTCCTGTTGCTGGCCCCAGGGACCCATGAGGCCTTCTGTTTAGGGGTGGCACTACTGAGGAAGGTTGAATTGAAGTGAATGAATCATGATTGTTCTGTGTTTTCAGAGATTAGAAACAACTTGTTTACTCTCCAAATAGCATCACAACCTTTAACTTCATTGAAAGAGAGAACAAGTCAGCCTCTGCGTATGGGGATACAGCATGAGAGGTGGGGAACATTTTCTTTAAGTGACACGGAGCACTGCTTTCTAGGGGTGCCCTTCCCACAGCTGAGCACCGCCAGGCACCAATCTCCCTCTTTCCTACCTTGAGCTAGCCAAGCTTGGGGAATGGTATCTCATCCAGCTGCTCTCCTAGACAGGAAGTCGCCCACAGGCGCTACTACTCTCCTTTCGCTTCCTGCTATCCCTCGCTTCCTTCCTAAACATTTCCCATCCTGGATGCAAAGGGCCCCTAAAGCTGAGCACCTCCCAAGTCCACTGCCACACTTTGCTCCAGTGCCCATTCCTTCAAGTGGCGAGTCCTTGCTTGTCCTTCCTAGGACAGCTCCGGCCCTGCCTCTCTCTCCTGTAACCATCCTGGGGGTGGATTTCACTCTGATCACAGGGGTTCCCAGGAATCTGTAAAGGGGCCATTCAACTATCCCTTCCCCTCCCATGGCAAATGCTTCCCTTTCAATCAGATTTTCAGAATAGGCTTCTAAGGTAGTTAGGGGTTTTTTTTTGGGGGGGAGGAATCTATGACTTTAAAAAATGTTACTTTTCTTTCAATTTTTTGCTTTCAACTCTTAAAGAAAATTTTTAAAAAATGGACAGGATGATGTAATATTCCTCTAAAAGCCCCAAGGCAGCAGAATCCCTTTGGGGCTGCTCCCCTCCCCTCTCCCACTCCGCCTTGGGTGGGAAAGTGGTAAGTAACACCAATAGGCAGCACTGGCTGGGCTCAGCCATCCTCTCTTCTAATGGGTCTTGGGCAGCTATCCCAGGCCAGCTAAGTCACATTAAAGCTGAGAACACTGCCAAGGGATTGGATTTCTTTTTAAATTAGGAGGAGAAAAAGAAGTGCCATGGGAAGCTCACAGATGGTCAGGGTTCCAGGGAGCTGCCGATGGGCCTTAAAAGACATCTTGAACCATCACAGTCTTAAGTTCATCTTAACTTTTGAACTTCTTGGGTAGGTTTCTGCTTTATTTGGGTAGAAATTTGTTTTAAATACTGGCCTGAAATTTGCCTGTTCTGGTGTCAGGCTGAGGCTTGAGAGGAAAAAGAAAAATAGCACTTATGGCAGTCAGGCATGGTGGCACACACCTGTGACCCCATCACCCGGGAGGCTGAGGCCAGGAGTTGGGAGAAAGCTCAAGGCCAGCTACACAGTTCAGTCAAGGTCAGCCTCAACAGACAGGCACTGTTTCAAAAATAAAAAACATCAACAAAAAACTAGTATTTATTGGCTCATGCCAAGCTTCAGGGTCTACAAGGCTGGGTGTCCCCACTCTATACCTGAGTGGCTTCCAGCACGTAAAGTTGAACGCCCATCTGGCTGCCATGGTGGGAAGCCAGACTCAAACCTGTCCTAGCTGCTGCCTCCACTGTGTGTCAAGTCCTGCAAAGAAAAACACTGAGTGTTTAAATTTCCCTTTGGGAATTGCCTGTGGGGTTCAGAGGCTTTCTTATTTTGTCTTTTGAATAGAAATGCTTCTAAATGGAAATTTGTTGGGGGCCTGCCCCTTAGCTCTAAGTGGCTGCTTCAACAAAGCAGTCAGGCTCAGGTTGCTGTGGTTCGATCCCCACAACTGAAGCCAGTGAAACCTGCCCTGAAGGAATTCGGAGCAAAAAAAAGAAATGTGTCCAGACAACAGACTTCTGTCACATCCCTCATCAGGTAGTACAGACTAAGATGCCCAGGAGCAAGGCCACCACCTGAAGATCCTGAAGTGCCCAGCTGAGATGTGTATGAAGCCTCTGTAGTGCCTCTGTAGTGCCCCTGCTCCCCTGAATCATGACCCTACCTGATGTGTTTCTTCCCAAGCCCAGCCCAGGACCGAGCTCCCCCGCAGCCTATGGCTTCCGGGCACCACTGGCGAGGCATATGGGAGATAAGCCCAACATTAAATTTTATTGTTGCTGAGCTGTGTTTTCAGAAGGAATCACATCAGAGAAAGATGTCCAAGCTGCATCTTCTTTCTAAAGTCCAATTCAGAGCTTTGTGCAATTAGTGAAAATTTTGACTTTTGAGTTCAAGGTCGAAAAGAAGTATGGGCCCTTTTCACTTGTCTGAATCCCTCTATTTTTTTTCCAAACTTCACTAAAGCTGAAAACTAATATATTTATTGAAGCATTGCAGATGCCCATCCTCTGAACTATTCAGACAGCTTGCGGAGCTGAGCCATGCCCAGTCACAGGCCAGTGAGCTGCAGTCATCGCTTTGTTTTATTTTCTGCATTTCTGATGCTCTGACATCTGGGGCCTTACTGACCCTAGACAGACTGCCCCCATCAGAGCCAGCGGATTCCTGGACATGTCCTGAAGCCAGGTGACATGGCCTCAGGACACTTGCAGCATAGAGACCTCCCACCCTGTGCCCACATCCACCACCTTCTTCAGGATCTCACACTCAGATGACCCTCTACCTCCCTAGTCACCCCAAAGCAGGAAGCGGGCCACCTGGGTACCTGAGCCCACTGAAAACTCAAACTAGCCTATCCTAAGCCTGCTGACCCTGCTGGGCCTATTCCTTCCAGAAAAAAAGCATCCTAAAGGCTCTTGCCTGTGTTTTGTCCCATCTCCTCTGCTGCCTGTATGACCCAGAGCTTTCTGCGGGCCCCCTAACCAAAGGCTTCCTGTGTCTCCTCCTCTTTAGCAGTAGTCCCCTTGTGATCTGTCAGCCTTGCTACACCCAATGAACAAGAAAATGTACATTTTAAAATAAGCCACACCTGCCATGGCTATGGACCCTCGCCTCCTCGAAGACTGTCTTAGCTTGTGGGAAGAGCAGCCAGGTACAAAGTCAATGGCAAGTCCAGTGGAATTTCAGTCGTGCCAAGAACCATACATAGCCTGCTTTCTCCTTGGTGGGGATAAAGTAGAACAGCAAGAAGGCACAGTTTGTCAAAAAGACAGCCGGTAGAATACAGCATCATCTACAGCATCATCTGGGCTGGTGACTCAGCACCACCACCGTCCTCTTAACTGGGGAAACAAACCCACCAGCAACCACAAGTAACAACTGCATACTTTCTTAGCTCCTGTAATAATCACCCTGGGTGTTGTCAGCCACCTTTTGGGGGAAAATAAGTGAAAAATATACAAGTTGAATTCACTGTGCCCAACTGCACAAAAAAGAGGACATTTTAAGGAAGCTTTTTAATAACGAAGATATTAAACATAGAATAATAAAATACCCCATTTAAAAGACACCTCAATAATGCTGGTATTTTTTTTCCTTTCATGACACCCCTGAAAGTAATCTCAAAATGTGCTTGCAAGAAAGCAAATGTGCTTGTTTGTTTCAGAGTTAGGAAACAAATGTGTCTCCTTGCAAGAACAAAGTCCATAAATATTTTATGTAAGTGAGAGAAGTGAAATGAACTCATCCCGAGAACATTTGTCAGCCGCGGTGGGGACAAGAAATCCACTTTGCCCACATCAGTCTAAAGGCGTTTGCCTGGAAGGGGTTTGGAAACCCAGGGTTAAGACAGGCACTTGATTTCTCCCTACTCACCCTTTAGCCAGCGTTGCTATGCCAACGTCTGTTAACTTCATTCCTACACCTATGGGGAAAGAGAGTAAAGATGGAGTTTGAGTTATTTGGGATCTTTCAGTAAGGCGTAAGGACAGCTCTGTCATCACATCCCTTCCTGCGTAAACACACTTTCCTCCTTGCCTCCACCCCCGGAGCTGACAGCCTCGCCAGCCTGCACTGCCTAGGGAAAGGGTGACGAAGGGGAGGGGGGGACAGACCTCTGACGGCAGTGCCCCAGGAGTCAAGCTAAGCCTGGCTTACACCACCCCCAGGAGAGGGGAGGGAGGCAGCTGCTCCATGATGTATCTGAGGCTTGTCACCCCCATGCGCTGTCTCACCAGAAATGTTCTGCCTCTGGGTTAGGTCTGGTTCCCTCTCTGGTCATCCACAGTGGAAATGATTACACAATAGAAGGAGTTGTGGACACAGACGACAGTGCTCAGTGTCAACAGCAAGAAGGTTCAAGGGGACATCTGCTCAGGTCAAAGCCAAAGTCCTGATATGCAATTGCGTATTTCCTTAAAGATGGAAAATGTCCAATTGCCCATCAGAACTGACGTTTTCTAAGCCAGCTTCAAATTTAGAAAAACAATTTCTGACATAAATAAGACTTCTGGCCAGCAGTCTGGGGCCACCTGCACTTGGAACCTATTTGACACTTGTCTTAATCTCTATCCATTGAGTGGTGGTTGGGGGGAGGTTACCAGAAGCAAAGCAACAGAGCAGGCACTCACTGTGCTCCCTCTGGGGCCCAGTGGAGCACCAGGGATGTCCCTGGTGGAGTTTCAAGCACAAGAGTCATGGTACTCCTGCCTTTCCAGCAGGGCAGTTGGGAGAATATGGAGGGAGGGAGCCGGGAATACAAGGAGAATGAATAATCCACTGTCTGTGGTCTTCTGTAGTGAGGAGAACAAGAGCTTCCCTCAGCTTCTGCAGTAGGGAGACACCTGTCTAATCCCTGAGTAAGCCTCTGGGCCTTTCTAGCATCCTTGCTCTCATCAGGTATCTCTTCTGCCACTCTCGCCTGGCACCTGCCCAGTCTCAGTGGCCCTCCCCATGCCATCCATGCTTAGTGCAGGACAGCATCCACAATGCTGCCCCATCAGTGTCTGACTTGCTGGGCACTGTGCCAGTGCCCCACTCACTGCCCGCTTTTCATTCTGGTCCTACATGGGCTGGCCTATAAAGCAACACTGTCCCTGCCATTGGTAGTTGACCTGGCCGCAGAACAGTCAGCCTGCTCTGTGGAAGGAGCCAGTGTCCCCCCAAAGCCAACCAGGGGTGATCAGATCTGACTGCAAGCTAATTTTGTGCTTCTCCATCCCAGAGGCCCAAGAAAGGAAAGCTTGAAGCTTAACACTCAGTTCAGCAGTGTTTGCTTGTATCACAACAAAAATACAGGACGTGTTGCCATTCAGACTGGTTAGTCAGCCAGAAGCAATGAGCCACCTTTTCTGCAGTGCACCTGTGAACTAAATTAGACATGGCACTTCGGGGGAGCCAGTGAGCATTTTAAAAGCCTCTTTCACAGTTGGTAACTAATTCATCACATTCTTTCAAAGCATCTAATAACTTGAACACATGTAGAAATGCTTCGCGTAGCTTTTATTACAAGGTCTATGTTTTAGAAAAAGACACCAAATTTGAAAGTCCTCTCTGGATATCATGTTTCATGGAAAGTTGTATTTAAAATTGATAGCTCAAAAATAAAATAAAATTGATAGCTCTAAGCCACATAGGCACTCAATTTTCAAAAAGTCATTTGGCTTCCGATTTGATTTGAAACTGTCTCATTGCTGTTTATCAATAAAACTTTGGGGAAAAAAAGAGAGAAAAAAAAGTCATTTGGCAAAAAGTTCTTAAACTTGGAGAATTGCTTTTCCTTTCTCATAATTATCAGCTGTTGTTTTCAATTTAGAAAAAGAGAATATAGTATTTACAAAGAAACTCCACTCTCTTGATTTAATAATTTGTCACCAATTCAACCAAAGTTATTCACAATCACTAGGAACCAATTAACTAAATCCTGGAAGGCTTCTGGCAAGCTGATTTGAGGGCCACAATAATTCACAGATTGTTTCTGATGCAGAGAAGGAAGTTGGCAGTGTCAGAAGGCTGTTCTCTAGAATTTGAGCTTTCGGGTTTTTTTCAGTGACATGGCCTTAGGAAGCCCAGCAGCATTTGTCACCGTGCACAGGTCTTAATTGTCAATCACAGCCTGGTCTTTTATTCCACAAACCAACAGTCCTCCCCATAGTCCTATAAACAAGCCAGTGCACCAGGAATTGGATAATTTACAGGAATCTGAGAAAGTCATGACTCCATTCCGTGCTTGTTTTTTTTTTTTTTTTTTTTGCTTGTTTTAATCCTAATTTCAGTGTCTATGTACAATTATAAAAAGTGAACACATTGCCCAGAGAATGACAAAGACAATAAAATGAATTTTCTCAGAAGAGAGTAAATAAACACCATCCTGAAATACTACAGCACCATGTCATTTACAGAGAAATGTAACATTCCTGTACAGTTTTAACTTGTGCCTATAAGCAAAACTCACCATGCATGAAGCTCCAGGGTGTTGTTTTTCAGGAGAGAAACTATACTTAATGGAAATTTAACTCTGAAGAAGAAAAGATGGGGGGACAGCAAGGCTTTCACAGCCAGAGTCTGAACCGAGAGCTATCCACTAAGACCACGCTCTGGGTGCATGAGAGTGGTAGTCATGTCTCTTCAAAAGATGGGAAGATGTGAGTGCCCTAAATTTGCAAAGCAGCCCACCTGCAAGACAGTGAAGCTCATATTCCAGTCGGCCTGCAGGGAGACTCTCCAAGGGCCCAGGAGGAGGAAGACAGCACACACTGCACCCCCCTAACATACAGAGAAACTAGGAAAGGTCAGAAGTTACTCTTGCCAATTTGTTAATTTGTAGTTTGATGGGAAAAGCTTAAGATACGGCATCAGAAATTGTGGCTTTGAGTCTTGGGCCTCTCTTCCCAGCTATGTGGCAGCAATTAAATCACTACCTCCGATTCTCCATTTTCTCATCTGCAAAATGGGATTTAATATTATCTTTCCAATGTTGTTATGAAGATTCAATAGAATAAATGAGCACGTACTATAGAATAAAAAAGCTATATAAAAACTAAGTAGTCCATAGTACAGTTAATTACACTGCACCAATAAATGGGCTATAGTTATGTAAGATTAGCTATCAAATCTGGGTGAAGGAGTCCATGGGGACTTCTCTGTATATTTTCGTAAATTCTTACGTCTATAATTATTTCAGAGTAGAGAGCATTCTATTGTGTGGCAATGCTGCACTTTACCACCTCACTTAACCCTCACGGAAACCCCATGCCCTACATGCAGAGGCACAGAGACTGAGAGTCATTTACCCGGAGGTCGACCCCTGCAAAGCGGTGCGGCAGCCTTGCTCTTCCGCGCCTCGCCACAGCCAAACCTTAGCATCCTGGGATATGAACGGCGTTTCTTTACCCAAGGACGTCCTCCGCTCATGCCTTGCCCACCCTGGCTTGACCATGCGGCTGGTGGCAAATGCAGGGGAGTCATAGTCGCCATCACCAGCTCGTGCCCCTGGAAGCTGGGGCCCGACCCCCCAGATCCCTCACTCCGTGGCAGGTGACTCTGGGAAATGTGCCCTGCACAGGTCCAGCACAGTAAGCTCCGGCGCCCCCCTCAGGAGTGGGCTATGTGCTCATGCGCCCTGCTGGCTGCCTGCTCTTCCTTAGCTGTACTTCCTAACCCCGTGCTGTTGTAGGAGGCTGTTAGAAATATTACACACAGCCACAGTGCTGGGCCCTCGAGGCGGGGGCGCCAGGGCAGGAGGAAAGATACCTGGGGACTGTGGGAGCCAGACTTCAAGAAAAATGAACGCACCCACATACTTCCTAAGGATAAACATCAAGGATTGATATTCTAAGTAGGTACCTATCACTGAGGAAGCCAGAAAGAGGCACTGGCACAGCCCCTTACAGGAAAAGCCCCTGTTCTGTATTCATGCCCACTTGCTACATGACTTGCTTCCCCATTTGAACCCAATTTAATCAATTTTACCTGAGCAATTATGTTTGTAATCTTATCCGTGGACCATAGTTTTGTCTCATCTCATGCCCACCTTCTAATTTCCCATTTTTACTTGCCTAGGACCCACCTCACCTTGTGGATTTGAGCTATAAAATTCCCTGGGAAAGGCAGGGTCCTTGGCAATCCACTGAGCTCCTCCTTCTGGCCTTGTCTCAGACAGGAGCTTTCTTTCCCCCAATAAATATATTCTGCTCTCAACCTCCATTGTTCCTAAAATTCATTCTTCAGTCTTAGAGAACCCACAGTCCTACCTGACATCTAGCAGGCTGGGAGTTTCTTTCCCCTGTGTCCCTTCCTTCCCTCCCGTAGGGGCATCCCAGAGCCTCAGTGTCCCTGCAGCCCAGAACCAGCTGTTCTCACCCTGCATGTCTGTGACCAGGAGGCAGCCGCTGGTTTTCTGGTAGACCCAGTGCTGGAAGGTACAACATTTCTGACCAGCCTCTGATTCTCTTCTCAAGAAGTTTATTTCTTTCCCATCTCTGATGGAATACTTGACAAATTCTCCAATCAGCTCTTCTTCCACTGTTGCATATGGGATATTGTTCTCAGGCCGATGGATAAGAAAAATAGGAATGATCCTGGCAAAGGGGTGAACAGGAGCACACATCAAGTTCCCAATTGTGAAGAAAAGTTTCTAGGACATTTTATCCTCACCTTCAAAAGCAAAACCGGGGTCCTTGAGTTCCATTCGATTTTTTTTTCCACACTAGAGATTAAACCTAGGGCCCTTACCATACTTACACAAGTGCCCTACCGCTGAGTTACACCTTCATCCTATCCACTGGATTGAAAATTAAAAATTCTCCCCCAAACACTATATAATGAATAAGATGCATTTCTGGTTTTACTTATGTCCATAGTTGGTTAGAACTTCGCCCTTGGGATTAACTCCAATTGTTTGTAAATGAATGTCTTCATTATAGTCATAGCCTAATAACCCATTGTTCCGTGACCATAATCCACGCAGATGTCTGTACAGCCTCCCTGGCACCCACCCACCCTCCCTTCCTTTTCATCCATCCATTCATCTGTTTGTCTTTCTTTCATTCAGCAAATGCTCAGCAGTGGCCTCTAAGGGTCAGGCACTTTTCCACAAACAGCAGTAAAGAAAACGGGTGCTTGTTCTCTTGGATCTTACATGTAAACAAAGGAGACAGAAATAAGCAAATATATGCCCAGTGCTGAGTGCTCTGCACAGTGAGAATATAAAGCAGTGGAGAGATCAGCAGTGCAAGGTGGGGAAGGGAGGCCAGAGAAGTCTTAGCTAATCAATAAAAGACAAATAAGCAAAGACCTTCAGGAGAAAGCCATGAGGATGTTTAAAGCAAGAACATCCCAGGTGGAGGAAAAAGCCAAAGTTAAGCACTCTGGCTGTAAAGCTCTCTTTCTGATTTTAGGACAAAAGCTCTGTCCGGTTAAGGAAATTTCAGGTAACAGCCGGAAGAGACAGGGCACTTTAGGGACAGTGACTCTGCTGCACACCTCTGAAGTCACCTTGGCCATTGCAGGATCCAGGGAACCCTCAGAGGACCCCTGCAATCTGTGGGCCCTTCCATAAAGCAAAATGATTCACAGTTGGTCTGGGTTATGAATTCTGCAACCTTTGTGAGAAAAACATCCACACAGAAGCAAGGGCTGGGCATTATTCAGGTTCTTAATTAGCTTGGTCCCTCTGCCCAGTGGGATGCTATTTGCATAAGCAATATGACTCTATTGATATTCATGAATTCAAAATCAGAAGCTACAAAGTGCCCACAGTTTTCTCCTGCAGATCCCAGCCAAAAGAGAACTGCTCCTGGCTGCTTCATTGTCTGAAAGTAAACATAAGGGGTGGAGTGGGGTGGGGTGGGGCAGGGTGAGATGGTGACAGAAAGGTGGGGTGGGGGTGGTGACAGAGGGGTCCAGAGCCTCAGGGCCTTCTGCCTAGGAACAACCCTGCTTCAACAGTATGGTTTTCAGAGAAGGTGGGAAATGTACTAGGCCAGCTCTGTGTGTGTGTGTGTGTGTGTGTGTGTGTGTGTGTGTGTGTGTGCATGCGTGCGTGTGTGCACGCGTGTGTGTCTGTGCATGCACACTCCTGTAGTAGAATACTCTGAGTTAGGTTTTCTGAATATGGAGTCTGACCCCCTGGCCTCCTGAGGACACCAACCCCTCCATATATTATGACCATTCGTGTGGCCACAAAGTCTCCCATTGTAAGGAAGGGAAAGTGTTGTTTTTGTTGTTTTTTGTAGGAAAAAACATCCACATCTCTCTCGAAGGAGGGGGCTCTTTTCTCAGATGCTGCAGAAGCCAGTCAAGCTCCTACCTCCGACTTGCCTGCGCCCTTTCCAAGACTCTAGTTTAATCTTCACGCTCCTGTTTTTGTTTTTATTGAGCAGAATCCCAACAAAAGTCATCTCTGGAGGATTTCCAGAGCTGTGTTTCTGGTCACTCACTCCACTCTTCCTGCAATGTCACCATGCCTTACTTTCATCACACTGTTGGGATAGTCTCTTATGTCTTATGTTTATGTTTTTAGACAATATAATTTCCATAAGAGTAGATACTTTTCTATTTAGCATGACATTTATTGATTCTACTCATTATCCAGCCATCCACATTAATATTTATTCATAGAGTACTTATTTATCAGGAATCATTCTGGATGCTTCTGGAGACCAAACAAAAAACAGACAGTAGCTCTATGAGCCCTCATGTAGCTTATAGACAGAGAGCCAAGGAAACAGTTCACCAAGAGGTCCTTATCCTCCCACTCCCCAGCCCAGGTCTTTCAAGTCCCAGCAAGCCAGACAGTAACACAAGCCAGGACAGAACACTTACTCTGGTACTTCTCCAAAGCCTTCCAGAGGCTGTGCTTCTGCAGCATAGATCTTGGCATAGTGTCTGGCAGTATTTTGAACATAACATTCCTATAACACCCAAATATAAGGGAAAGCCAAGTGATTAGAATGCAGGGCATTGCCCAGTAAGGCTATTTAGAGGATTTCCAATATAAGTCAAGACAAGCCATTGGATTTCCGAGACTCATCCCTTGGTTGAAGTCACAGAAGTAACAATTTTTTCCCTTTGTAGTAGTGGAGAATTGAACTCAGGCCCTCATGCATGCTGGGCCAAAGCTCTACCCCTGAGGTACACCTCCTGCTCCTGAAGCTGCAATGATTGCAACCTAGAATTGGTCAACTACAAAGGAACTCTGAGATGTGAAGGTCATCCAGGCCTAAGTCAGTGGTCTGTAGCCTCAGGGGTACCTGGATGACAGATATTCCACATTTCATGACTGAGTTACATTTCTGCAACTAGATGGCTAAACTAATTGGTCACTAAGTGAAAAACTGTATATAGTTATGTATATTACAATATTCAGAATGAAGAAATGGTCCAAGAAAACTCCAACTTCATGACTTTTCTTTTACTGGCAGGACTCTGATGTGCAGTACTGGAATGTATAGCAGGGCAGGGGGAAGCAGCGAGAAGCAGATCCTTCTTGCCCCTTCTCTCCCTTCTTAACTCCCTTCCCAGGTCTTTCCCTCTGTCCTCAAGTTCTGTGACTAGAGAAAAGTGAAAATTTAGCTAGAGCTGGGGATCAATCTCTCATCACGGTGTAAGACTAATGTTAAACCAAACTGAGGAAAGCAGGAAATAGGACAATCATGACTCTCCTGAGCATGCTCACTGCCCCCCTGCCATAAATATCCAAGAAAATATGAAAGAACTTAATGCTGACTTTTGGAAATCCTTGGGGGTGCTGCCACCTAATGTTGCTTAGAACCTCTATCTTCCATAACATCATACTGATCAAGTAGATTCCAAACCTGAGGGGCCTCCTGGGGCTTCCCAGAGAGAGAGAGATGAGCACCACCAGGGTCCAAGCTGGTAAGGTCTCTCAAGGCTTTGGCTTAATCCCAACAGGCTGGCCTGAGGCCAAGAAATGAATTCTGAGGCCTTAGAAGTGACTCCCAGAATTCAGCCTGAATCTGCAGTCCAAAAGAAGAAAATCAACCTTTTGGAGATATTCCCCTCAATCCTGAGTTTGAGCTTCACCTCACATCAATGCAGGTAACTCTCACACCTCACGTATGCCTTTGGGTAGACAGACCCACCTGGGCCGCAAGCTTGTAGTTCCTTTGGACTAGCTCATCATTGTTTCTGGTCCCGTGGGCTATGGCATTGTGCACCTTGAGCACGCAGGCATGGCCAGGCTGGAAGACAGGCGTGAGGCCCTGCATCACTGTGCTGCGGAAGGCCTTGCGGTGCACGCCTTCCCCGAAGTGCAGCTCCTCTGTGGCAATCTGGCCACGCAGGCGGCCCCCAAAGTAGCTGTCATTGAGGAAGTCTTCTCTGAAGATGAGCTGACTGAATTCAATCTCTTCACATCCTAAAACACAGTACAGCTATAGTTGAGCAGAATATTTCTCAGTCCTGATCCTTGGTGAACTGGCATCTTCATGTAAGGACAAGGACAAGACTGAGCTGCAGAACTAACAGGAAGAAACTACACTCAATGCCCTGCAGAGACATAGCTAGGAGAAGAGATGGGTCAGGGAAGTAGGGTGTGGGCAACGCAGGCTAAAGCCCTGTAGGTCGCTCACGAGGGGGATCAGTCCGAGGAGAACCGTGGACATGGGGGAAAACATTAGACCTGAAAAGTAAGAGCAAAATCATGCAGAGTGACTAGAAGCAAGGGGAGGGATGAGTAAGGTGCAGATGAGGGACCACACGCCTGACCTGATAAGGTCATCTTCAGGGTATGTGTACAACTCTGCAGCTACACTAAAAACAATTTAATTGTATATTTGTCATGGGCAAATATTGTTCAATTTTACTTTTGAAAAAAATACTTTTATTAGTACATTTTAGGTATACATAATGATAACATTCATCATATGGCAACAATATAGTGTGTGTGTGTGTGTGTGTGTGTGTGTGTGCATGTGTGTGGTGCTGAGGATGGAACCCAGGGCCTTGTGCATGCAAAGAAAGAACTCTACCACTGAGCCACATCCCTGCCCTTAGTTTTTCTTTTTTCACTCTCCTCCTTTCACCCCATGTTCCCCTCCTTATTTACAAAAACTTTGCTTCCATTGTTTCCTTCTATTCCCTTTTCCCCCTCCCTTCCTTTCCCCACCCCCTCCCTAGTTCCCATTGGCACATTTTTTTCCCCTTTTTCCAAATATCTATTATACATTGTGGTCCTTACTTATACTTTCAGTTTCTCACAGCAGAGAAACCATGCGATATTTGAACATGTGTGTCTTATTTATTTCACTTGAGAGTATAGTCTCAAAGTACATCCATTTAGCTAGAAAGGGCTCAACTTTATTCTCCTTTATAGCAGTGCAGTACTCCATTGTATTTAAAAAAATCTTTCACCAGTTGATGGACACTTGGGTTGTTTCCAAGACAAACAAAGGTTTTGCTATTACAAACCTTGCTGCTATAAACATGGGTGTGCATATAGCACTGTGCTGTCATGCTTTTAATTTTAGGGGGAAGACACCAAGAAGGGGACTAGCTGGGTCAAATGGAACTTCTAGCTTTAGGTTTTTAAGAATTCTCCACACTGATTTCCACAGTGGTGGCACAGTCCACACTCCCACCAACTGTGGGACTCCACCATTTTCCCCACAGCCCCACCAGCATTTGCTATTGGTTGATTTCCTGATAGCCATTTTTTTCTGGAGTGAGATGCAATCCTCACGATTGTTTTAATTTGTATCTCTCAAATAATCAGTGATATTGAATATTTTTTCATATATTTATTTGCCAATTCTATTTCTTCATCTGAGAAGTATCTATTCATTCCAGATGCCCATTTTTGGACTGGGTATTTAAATTGAAGGATCTGATATTTTTACTTCTTTTTTTTAAATTTTATTGATAAACAGATAGCAATGAGACAGTTTCAAATCAAATCAGAAGTACAGTTTCAACAAATAACACACTGCATATATTCTTCTTAGTGGTTAATTGCTGTACAAGATGCGGACTTGAGATCCTATTTACAAACACCATTAGAAC